AAGTGAGACGTATTTTCTGCTTCTATGAATTTTTCATTTCTTGAGCCTGGCGCCCTCTTTCTCCGCGGCTTCCAGCAGATTTCACAGTAGACGCATGAAATTGCTTCAAATTTTTACCTTCTGCAACAACAGGGAAGCTTTTTCCTCACGTCGCTACCACTTCAGCACGTGTAAAGAACACCTCAGTATCTTTAAGCATAACTGGAATGTCGTGCAGCTTGAAACTATTTCCACACACAATAGGAAAGTGAGACTCGCAACTTGTTGGGGACTCAAAATTGTGAGAAAGTACACAAATTTGCACACAACTTGTTATTTTAAAACCCATTGAGAAAATCTGAGCTGAAATTCCACATGAGTTCACATGCACGTGCAAAATAATGCTGCTGTAGCACTATACAGTCATGAAAACTTATAATTAGGACGAGTTTTAGACGCCTGCAACAGGTCTGTGACCATTATGATTAAAACTTTATATCTCAGATGTCTCTAACATGGTCAGAGTTCAAGCAACATGAGTTCAGTTCACATTAGACAAAGAACCTCTGAACATTTTGAGACATTTCAACGACTCCCTCGGGAACGCTGTTCACTATTTTGTGTCATTTTGTTGCAGCCCTGTGAGATACAAAATATATCCCGTATTATGTTGGACAATGCTGCAACTCATTTTAAACTGAGGTGATGTGATATGATTATATTCTATTTTTTGATGTGTGCAATAAGTTTGAAAAAAAATGTAGTGCTTTGATCCGAGTAATAAAAGCAATATACCGTACGTACCGGTAATCATTTTTGCGTTATTTTATTTATGCCAAAAAAAAAAAGAAGAAAACATCCTTCTGTGGACACGGTTAAATGTATTTTTGTTCCATTCCCTGCAGTTCCAGTATCTGTGGGGTAACAAGACTTTTTCTCTGTTTGTTTTTTTTTTTTTAAGAAAATCAGTGTTTGATCATAAACTCATATTATGAGTCAAAAATAGTCCGATTTAATTTGAGTCAAAAATAAGAAAGGCAAAATTTTTTTGTCTACTCTACTTTAATTGCAGTTCTTAGAGAGTCGGACAACACCAGCAAGATAGAGTCTCAAAAAGTAGGGGTGCACCGATAAATCGGCCGGATTTATCGGTGCACCCCGATTTCCTTAATTTTGGGAAATTGGACGATACTTGCATGAGAAGCCGATTTTACAGATTTTTTTGTTTGTTTTAACAACAATTGTCTGAACTTCATTTATATTTCAGAGCACGACCTCATGTCCAGTTAAAACACGTTTGTATTGTTTCTAGGATATTGTTCAAGGGTGTGTTTTTCAACAAAATACGTTTGGGAAATTGAAGGTGCATTGTGACCTAATAACACCTGACAGTGTCGCTTATAAAACAAGATCGGAATCGGCAGGTCAGACGTTTTAGAAATCGGTGATCGACCAGAAAACTGCAATCAGTGCACCCCTATCAAAAAGTCAAAATCATCCAAGCAAACCGTGACTGGTCCAGTTTTTTGTTGGGATTGTAAAGAAATGGTGGAGTTTTTATTTCTCTAAATGCGAAGCTGTTCACGTAACCTTAAATCAGAATGGAGACGATTCAAGGATTTCCACCTGGAAGTCAAAGTGGAGACTCCACCTGTATAAATAGTGATGTATTGAAAGTTAAGGCAGCAACAAGCAGGATGGTGAGGAGAAATGCAGTCAGAAGATGGAGCTACCACTGCAACACTCCGGCCTTCGTACAGAGACTCAGTTTGATTTAGATTAAACAATATCTGGTCTCCAATCGTCATTGGTTTTTGTGTCTTTAAGACAAGTCCCTTTACAATTCTTTCATTTCTCTATAAAAATGCTCAGTACAGCACATTAAAAACAACAGGTGCATCTGTTTAGGCTCATTTGAAAGCTCTTGTGACTATCCTTTTAGCCCTCAGATTTATTCCTAAACACACATTTGCAACGACAGTTTTCACATACGAAGGAAATATTAAACGAGCAGTGTTTTTTCTGTGTTCGTCCACAGTTCTTCCTTTGCTCGGTTTACGTGCCCATGTGCACTGACAAGGTTCCCATCCCCATCGGGCCATGTGGCAGCATGTGTTTGTCTGTGAAGAGGAAGTGCCTCCCGGTTCTCCATGAGTTTGGCTTCATATGGCCTGAGGTGAGTCATGTGCAAGCAGCCTTCATACACTTCATGTATGTTAACGTTTAATGGCATTACCCGTCACCAGAGTTACCCTTTACTCTTGTTTTTATTTACTTCCTTTAAAAAGAAACACTTTGTGTTTTCTTTCCAGGTGCTCAACTGCAGCCGTTTCCCACCTCAGAATGATCATAACCACATGTGTATGGAGGGTCCGGGGGATGAGGACCCCCCCTACCAGCTGGTCCGCCACCCTCCCCTGCAGGAGGAGTGTCAGGCTTTGGGGTCTGCACCTGATCAGTATACCTGGCTCAAACAGACAGAAAGCTGCACGCTTCAGTGCGGCTACGACAGTGGGCTCTACCGACGGGGGGCCAAGGTCTTCACAGATGCGTGGATGGCGGTGTGGGCCGTGATGTGCTTCCTGTCGACCACGCTGACGGTGCTGACCTTCCTGCTGGATTCTCAACGATTCTCCTACCCCGAGAGGCCCATCATCTTCCTCTCCATGTGCTGCAATCTGTACAGTGTTGCTTACCTGGTACGAAAGAAGATAACAGATTCAGATGTGTTGTGCTCACAAAGAAACTTAAATCAGATTTTTATTGTTTTACTTCCTTTTCTTATTAATGTACCCCCTCTTGTTCCAGGTACGACTGACTCTTGGCAGAGAACGTGTTTCCTGTGACCTGGATACAGCTGCTGTACCGATCCTGGTCCAAGAAGGGTTAAAGAACACGGGCTGCGCTATAGTTTTCCTCCTCCTCTACTTCTTTGGCATGGCCTCTTCCCTCTGGTTAGTTCAAACCCACTCCTCCATCTCTTTGTCCCAGCGTCATCAGCTGTTGTGAACGGCTTGTGGTGGAACACGAGACTTGCATCCTGTTTTTTTGTAAATCAACCTATCCTGTCTCCTAACCTCTGTACTAGTTGGACTCACTTCCAGCCACGGCTTATCGAGCGTGTGTCGGACTGAGGTGGCAGTGGAAACACACTGCTGTCACAGCTCTTTTTCTTCCTTTTCACTCAACTGTTGTTTTCTCCTTTTGGAAAAGCAACAGGACCAAGGACTGCATTCAAAGGATCATCACTATACTCATTTATATCCTCATTTATAACTCGTGACCGTCTCCTTTCTTGATAACTTAATTACAACTGGAGACCGTCCACTGATTGGTAATAAAACATACAAAATTATCCCATTTGTTTTTAAACTTTCTTTAAGATCTACGTCTTTCAAGCTGATGTACATGTCTGAAATGGACTTTTTGTCTATTCTTCTTCTTTTTCTTTCTGTGTGTCCCTCTTCAGGGGTCTCCACAGCGAGTCATCCTCCTCCATCTCTGTCCTCTGCATCCTCTGTCCTCATTCCAACTACCTCCATGTCCTCTCTATCTGCATCCATATATCTCCTCTTTGTCTTTTTTCCTGGCAGCTGCATTTCTAACATCCTTCTACCAGTATACCCACTGTCCCTCCTCTGGACATGTCCAAACCATCTCAGTCTGGTCTCTCTAACTTCATCTCCCAGTTGTTCAACCTGTGCTGTACCTCTGATGATCTCATTCCTAATCTTATCCATCCTTGTCACTCCTAAGGAGAACCTCAACATCTTCATTTCTGTCACTTCCAGTTATTTTTCCTGTCTTATTGTCCATGTCTCTGTCTCCAGACCATACAATATACAGTAGCTGGTCTCACCACTGTCTTGTAAACTTTTCCTTCGACCTTTGCTGCCACCCTTTTGTCACAAATCACTCCTGAAACGTTTCTGGTTTACTTTTTGTCTGTTACACTTAATAATAATAAGATAATTGAAGAACTTTACTATAAGAAGCACTGTGTCTCACTCTGTCCTCCACCCTTGTCTTCCAGGTGGGTGATCCTGACCCTCACCTGGTTTCTGGCTGCTGGACTGAAGTGGGGCCATGAGGCGATTGAAATGCACAGCTCCTACTTCCACATAGCAGCCTGGGCCATCCCAGCTGTCAAAACCATCGTCATCCTCATCATGAGACTGGTGGATACCGACGACCTGACTGGGCTCTGCTACGTCGGTAACCAGCAGCAGGAGGCGCTCACAGGCTTCGTGGTGGCGCCACTAGCCACATATCTTTTAATAGGTAAATAGAACAAAGTAACATGGGATGTTTCGTTTAACCTGCTACTCCAAGCATTAGTTTAGGTCAGTTGAACTTTTATCTTGTATAGTTTGATTTCAACTGAATCGAGGCACTAACAGCGTCGTTTGTCATCGCTACAACAAAAATGAATATGTTAAAACGACTAAAGTCTCAAAAACTGTAAAGCAGTTTAGCCAAACACTCTTTAGGCATTACTGTAATTTTGTATTACAATGTAATTTGCATATAATTTTACTAACTAAAGAAATTTTGTTGCAGTTTGGGGAACTTCCATCGCCATACAACCAAACAATCCAATACTGATCACAATGTAAACATATAGACGTATATAAATGTATAGTTTGGATAAACGTGGGAAATCTTTGAATCCGTGTTGAGAGAGCTTTGTTCTTGTCTTCACTCAGACAAATCATTAGCTCATCAGTCCTGTCAAAATAAAGCTATTACTCCCGTCTAAAATAATTACAGCAATGACTGTTCATGAACTTTTCCACAGAACCCCACTTTAAAGATGTGAAATAATGTTTTGATGATATTTATGTGTATCCAGCTTTATTTATTTTTCTTAGTTTGACATGTTTTGTTCTCCCTGCCTCACAGGAACTCTATTCATCTGTGCGGGCCTCGTAGCTCTTTTCAAGATCCGCTCCAATCTGCAGAAAGACGGAGCCAAAACGGACAAGCTGGAGCGTTTAATGGTAAAGATTGGGGTGTTTTCTGTTCTCTATACGGTTCCAGCATCCACCGTCATCGGCTGCTACCTCTACCAGCTCTCTCACTGGGGGGAGTTCAGGGCCAGCACACAGGACTCCTACGTGGCATCGGAGATGCTTCGAATCTTCATGTCGCTGCTTGTGGGCATCACGTCGGGGATGTGGATCTGGTCGGCAAAAACCCTCCACACCTGGCAGCGCTGCTCCACCCGGCTACTTAGGGACAGCCAGGCAAGCCGAGGTGGGAAAAGGGCACCAGGCGAGGGCTGGATCAAACCAGGAAAAGGCAATGAGACGGTGGTGTGAGAAGGAAAGTTTGAGTAAGTGTGGACAGGAATGAAAAGTGCTGAGTTCTTCTCGTACAGAAGCTCGCTCTGCCAAATGAAGGAGGAAGAGATTCAAGAGACAAGAAGGGGTGTTAGAAATGTGACCGCAGGACTTTCTTAAAGAAGCCCCCTTGGATACAACGCCATCACATGAAATCCCTGACTCTGTGCCACTAACAGAAGTTATGAAGGAGAAAATAGGAAAACTGAGTCATACAGTTAAGCCTCTCTACCTCCATTAGGTCTCAGTTGCCCAGAGAGGTGGAAAGAGTAAACAAAGGAAGAAGTGAATATGGAAAAAAGCTGAGAGGCGTCAGTAGGAAACACCAATAAGCTGTAAATCAGCGCCTCTCTGTCCAAATCTTCAGCAGAAGAGACAGAACCTGCTGAACACATGAATCTGAATGTCGTGGTGACTTTTTTTTTTTTTAAGTTTGAGATTTTACACTGGAGCAGAATTTATTCAAACGTAGTCTGAAGTTTCCCCAAAAGCATCCAGAGAAACATTTCTGCAATTAAAAAAAA